TTTTATAAGGGAACAGTAAAAGGACCCCGTTCATGCTGGGCTGTTTGCACTTGGCTAAAAGGGATCATCCCGGAGAATAGCCACGCGGTGGCAGGAGGGGTGTGCTGCACATCCAACCCAAAACCGCAGCCCCTCCTTTTAAACAGCAAACCCAACCGGCATTGCTTGCTATGGGAAAGGAGGATACTGCAGTTTGAAACCATTCCCACATGTTATGAAGGCAGAAGAAGCCAACCCCGCGAACCCTTTGGCTTACCATGGCTACCTGGAAACCGAATTCTGTTGCCCAGCTGTGTGTGATCTGTCACCATACCGGCAGGCGCTCAATATAAAAGGCAAAATGTGACCTTGTACCTAAAGCACATGTGCTGTCTTCTGTGAATTGCTTGATTCACTGTGAAAGAGTCTCCCTTTTGTTCTCAGAAATGTATCTTCTTAAATTTTACTCTCCCTTTTTATCCCCCCTGCAGGTGCAAATGTTTCTATGCTCCCTGTATCATCTCCATCCCTGAGGTTATCGCAGATTAGAAGGAGAAAAAAAATGCACTCGCGATGACGTTTTCCCAGCTCATGCAGTCCTCCTGCACTGATAGGGCACAGCTGAATGCATGGAGGCATTCGGTGGCAGAGGCCAGGAAAGCATTCAGTGAATGTGATCAGAACACACAGGAGCAGATCCTGAGGCTAATGGGGAAGCAAACAGACATGATCAGGCATCTGGTGGAGCTGCAGGAAAGGCAACAAGAGCACAGACTGCGGCTGCATCCATTGTATAACCTCCTGCCCTCCTCCCCAAGTTCCATATTCTCCTCACCCAGATGCCCAAGAATGTGGGGTGGGGGAGGCTCCGGGCACCCAGCTACTCCACTCCAGAGGATGGCCCAAGCAACAGAAGGCTGTCATTCAAACAGTTTTGATTTGTAGTGTGGCTACAATAAGCAATGTGGCCTTGTCCTTCCCCACCCCACCCAGGCTACCTTGTCAGTGATCTCACTTTTTTTAATAAATAAAGAATGCATGGATTCAAAACAGTAGGGACTGTATTTCCTTTGCCAGTGGGGAGGGGGATTGGCTTACAGGGAAGTAAATTCAACAAAGGGGGCGGTTTTGCATCAAGGAGAAACACACAACTGTCACACCGTAGCCTGCCCAGTCATGAAACTGGTTTTCAAAGCTTCTCTGATGTGCAGCACGCATAGCTGTGTTCTTCTAATCACCCTGGTGTCTGGCTGTTCAAAATTGGCCGCCAGGCGATTTGCCTCAACCTCCCACCCCACCATAAACATCTCCCCCTTACTCTCTCAGATATTATGGAGCACACCACAAGCAGCAATAACAATGGGAATATTGGTTGTGCTAAGGTCTAACCTAGTCAGCAAACCACGCCAGCAAGCTTTTAAAGGTCCAAAGGCACATTCTACCACCATTCTGCACTTGCTCAGCCTATAGTTGAACTGCTCCTTACTACTGTCCAGGCTGCCTGTGTATGGCTTCATGAGCCATGGGAGCAAGGGGTAGGCTGGGTCACCAAGGATAACTATTGGCATTTCAACATCCCCAACAATAATTTTCTGGTCTGGGAAGTAAGTCCCTTCTTGCAGCTGCTCAAACAGCCCGGACTTCCTAAAGATGCGAGCGTCATGCACTTTTCCTGGCCATGTTGATGTCAGAGAAACGTCCCTTATGATCCACCAGTGCTTACAGCACCATTGAAAAGTACCTCTTGTGGTTTATGTACTGGTTGGCAAGGTGGTCAGTGCCAAGATAGGGATATGCATTCTGTCTCTCACCCCACCACAGTTAGGGAAAGCATCCATTGCAGCAAAGCCATCCACTATGACCTGCACATTTCCCAGAGTCACTACCGTTGCTAGCAGAAGGTTAGTGATTGCCTTGGCTACTTAGATCACAGCAGCTCCCACAGTAGATTTGCCCACTCCGAATTGATTACCGACTGATCGGTAGCAGTCAGGCGATGCAAGCTTCCACAGGGCTATCGCCACTCGCTTCTCAACTGTCAGGGCAGGTCTCATCTTGATATTCCTGCGCTTCACGGCGGGGGAAAGCAACTCACACAGTTCCATGAAAGTGGCCTTACGGATGCGAAAGTTGCGCAGCTTCTGGGAATCATCCCATACCCTCAACACTATGCGGTCCCACCAGTCTGTGCTTGTTTGCCGGGCCCAGAATTGGCGTTCCACTGTATCAACCTGCCCCACTGCCGCCATGCTGTCCCAATTGCCACATCCCGTGCTTTCAGGAACGTCTGTGTCCATGTCCTCCTCACAATCGTCTTCGTGCTGGTGTTTCCTAGCCAGGTTCTGCACATACCGCAGGATAACGCGCGAGGTGTTTACAATGCTCACAACAGCAGCGGTGAGCTGAGTGGGCTCCATGCTTGCAGTGCTATGGCGTCTACACAGGTAACCCAGGAAAAAAGGCACAGAATGATTGTTTGCCGTTGCTTTCAAGGAGGGAGAGAGGGGAGACTGACAACATGTACCCAAAACAACCCGCAACAATATTTTTGCCCCATCAGGCATTGGGCGCTTAACCAAGAATGCCAATGGGCAGCGGGGATGTGGGATAGCTACCCACAGTGCACCACTCCGTGAGTCGATGCTAGCCACGGTACTGAGGATGCACTCCGCCGACCTACTGCGCTTAGTGGGGACATACACAATCGACTGTATAAAATCGCTTTCTAAAGATCGACTTCTATAAATTCAACCTAATTTCCTAGTGTAGACATACCCTTAGTCTGAGAGTTTTACACCTGGAGAATCCCTATTTCAAGGCTGCTCATCAAGACCGTATGGCCCAGTCAAGTGCTTACTCTCCTTTTGCACAGCTGCTTTTCAACACAAAGGAACCTCAGAGCTTCAGCTGTCTGACAAAGGAGAGTGCTTTAACCCACACAATTCCCTTATTGACTGAGTGCACTTATTGCAAGGCATTCCAGCTCTTTCTGTGAGGAGTTTCATCCTGCATGCTTATATGTCAATGACCCTAATGGGCAAGTCAGAATCATGTACAGCTTCCAAATATACTCCGTAGGGACTTGAAAGCCTATAGGGCATTTGTAAATACTTAATAAACACATAAATTTTGAACTATTTAATATGTTCACTAAATCATTTATAATGAAGCATGTAACATTTAACCATTAACGTTGACTATTTAAATAATTCACGTAGAACTGGACATAATTGAGTTAATTACAGAGCAATATTATTTAAGAATAAACTTTGCTTTTACATCTAGCCCTCTGTAATGTGAAGCAAGGTGCCTAAATCAGTTTTAGACACCACTGCAATTGACAAAATCCCTGCTCAGCTGCCACCTAATCCTGTAAGTGCCTAAACTCACTTGGCACCTAAATTTCCATTGTAAAAATTCCCGAGGTGCCTACATATTTGCCCCTGAGCATGTGCACTGCTGTCTCACTCTAGGTGTCCGGATCCCTATCTCCCCATTAAGTCCCACTGCAATCCAGGAACAAGGAAAAATAGGCAGAGGAGTCTCATCCATGGGGCCCAATCCAGCTGGCATGTTTAGGGGCCACATACCAGATCAGGTCCCATTCAAAATCTAACCAGAGGAGAAGATGGTATCCACCTTACCACTTTCAGCCTTGTGGTTAAAGCAGTCATCTGGGATGAGAAAAACCTGAGTTCAAATTCCCTCTCTGACTGATAGGAGGATGGAATTGAAAAGCTGTCTCTCCACCTCTCAGGTGAATACTCTAACCATGGAGCTATGGCTATTCTAACGTTGGGCGCTCTCAAACTTTCCTGGTGAAGCTGTTGCTCCTGGGATAAATACTTAAGAGTCATTAGGACAAAGAGAGTCATTAAAGAGAGAATATGAATCTGTACATTTGGGGTTAGCATGACCACTTGCAAGGTGTGAGATGCAGGGTCCAGTCCTCCTGCACCAGCGACTTTTTCATTATTTGTACATAGTGGAACAGTTTTAACAGGAGAGAATGAGGGGGCCTCATCAGAATAATCCATAGCTCAGTGGTTACAGCACTCTTTTAGGATTAGAAAAGGAGTTTCCTACCTATTTTCTTCTCATAAGACAAGGGAGAATTGACCTGGTCTCCCAGGTCCCTGGGGAGTGCTCTAATCACTAGTCTAAAAGTTATAAGGTGGGCAGCAGCATCACCTCCTCACGCCTCTAGCCATTTTGTGTGGAGCAAGGCAAGCATCTCATTCTCACAAGAAATGCCTTAGGTGCCTAAATCATCTGGCTTCAATAGAAGGGTTCCCAGTCTGTGGGTGACTAGCAGAGACAAGCACCTCCTGCCAGCTGCAACTTAGGTGCCTAGCTCAGTGCAAGAGGAAGGGCTTGTTACGCACCCCTCTCGTCAGCATCTCCCATTGGCTAGTTGAGGCAGCTCCACACGTAGCATACTGGTTTCTGTTAATCCCATTCTTAGTAGGGTTGCCAACCCTCCAGGAATTAAAGATTATGTCACATGGTTAAATCTCCAGGAATACATCCAAACAAAATTGGCAACCCTAATAATTAGGTGCCCAGCTCTCCCCATTCATTGTATGGGGGGAGCCGAGGCTCCCAACTCAGGCTTTGCAGCTAACAGGGCTGTTCCTCTGATGTTTTCTAAGCATAATGCTCAGTGTTGCAACCTCTAAGTCCCTGTGCGGACCCAGGACCCCGGTGCCCAGCACCTGCTAGTGCGGGAGGAGCAAGGCCCAGAGCTGAGCCCGTGGGTTGAGCCAGGCGCTATGGACACCCGGCCGGCGTGTTCTCGCCAGCTGGCAGGGCACATGGGAGGACCGGGCTCGGGGCAGCCTGGCTTCCGCACCCGGGCCCTGCACTAACCAAGCTCGGGGCGCCCGAGCTGCGACTGAAACGGACCCGGGGCCTGCCGCCGCTGGGCAACCGGGCGCGCGGGGCCAACTGCGGTTCCCAGAATGCAGCGCGCGAGCCGCCGGAAGTACGGGAGCTTCTGTTCTGCCCGACCGGAAGCGGATGGTGGTGAGATTTGTTTCTCTTCCGCCTGCGGCCGCCTCCTCCATAACGGTAACGGCAGCGCCCCGGGGAGCGGGGTTTGTCCAGCGCCCCGAACCGGCCCCTCTGCCCTCCCGCCCGTGCTGGGGGGGACTGAGGCTCCCATCGTCCCAGCCCCGCCTTCATATGAGCCGCCGCTCGCCTGTCAGCAGTGCGGCCCTTCCTCAGGCTCCTGGGGGCTCGTAGCTGGACGGTTCCACCTTAGCGGTTATCAGACCAGAAACTGCCTAACGGAAACCTGGCTGGTGCAGCGCGGGCACGTGGGTTTTCCTGCCCTGTTGAAAAACCGGTTGTCACGCAGGTGCCAGCGAGGTGCGGCTGTCATCTGTCCAGAGCAGCCTTAAAAAGACCAGGACAGACTCTATCCCCGTAAAAACAACAAGGAGTCTGGTGGCACCTTAAAGACTAACAGATTTATTTGGGCATAAGCTTTCGTGGGTAAAAACCTCACTTCTTCAGATGTATAGAGTGAAAGTTACAGAGGCGGGCATTATATACTGACACATGGAGAGCAGGGAGTTACTTCGCAAATGGAGAACCAGTGTTGACAGGGCCAATTCAATCAGGGTGGATGTAGTCCACTCCCAATAATAGATGAGGAGGTGTCAATTCCAGGAGAGGAAAAGCTGCTTCTGTAATGAGCCAGCCACTCCCAGTCCCTATTCAAGCCCAGACTAATGGTGTTAAATTTGCAAATGAATTTTAGTTCTGCTGTTTCTCTTTGAAGTTTGTTTTTGAAGTTTTTTTGTTCAATGATAGTGACTTTTAAATCTGTAGTAGAATGACCAGGGAGATTGAAGTGTTCACTTACTGGCTTATGTATGTTACCATTCCTGATATCCGATTTGTGTCCATTTATTCTTTTGCGAAGGGACTGTCCGGTTTGGCCAATATACATGGCAGAGGGGCATTGCTGGCACATGATGGCATATATAACATTAGTGGATGTGCAGGTGAATGAGCCCTTGATGGTGTGGCTGATGTGGTTGGGTCCTCTGATGGTGTCGCCAGAGTAGATATGGGGACAGAGTAGGCAACGAGGTTTGCTACAGGAATTGGTTCCTGGGTTGGTGTTTCTGTGGTGTGGTGTGTAGTTGCTGGTGAGTATTTGCTTCAGGTTGGGGGGTTGTCTGTAAGTGAGGACTGGCCTGCCACCCAAGGTCTGTGAGAGTGAGGGATCATTTTCCAGGATAGGTTGTAGATCGTGGATAATGCGCTGGAGAGGTTTTAGCTGGGGGCTGTATGTGATGGCCAGTGGTGTTCCATTATTGTCCTTGTTGGGCCTGTCCTGTAGTAGGTGATTTCTGGGTACCTGTCTTGCTCTGTCAATCTGTTTCCTCCCTTCCCCAGGTGGGTATTGTAGTTTTACGAATGCTTGATAAAGATCTTGTAGGTGTTTGTCTCTGTCTGAGGGGTTGGAGCAAATTCGGTTGTATCTTAGGGCTTGGCTGTAGACAATGGATCGTGTGATGTGTCTTGGATGGAAGCGGGAGGCATGTAGGTACGTATAGCGGTCAGTAGGTTTCCGGTATAGGGTGGTGTTTATGTGACCATCACTTATTTGCACTGTAGTGTCCAGGAAGTGGATCTCTTGTGTGGACTGGTCCAGGCTGAGGTTGATGGTGGGGTGGAAATGGTGCCACCAGACTCCTTGTTGTTTTTGTAGATACAGACTAACACGGCTACCCCCTGATACTCTATCCCTGTGGTTCTCAACCTGCTCTGTCCATCCCTCATGGAAGGAAGCCCAAGTCCTGTCTTCCTTCTTTAAGAGTAAGGTTGGGGGGTTTAGCACCTTCTATTCCCATGTCGTTGGCCTGTACAACGTGGCTGGCAAGGTGTGAAAATGGGAGAAATGTACAGTTTAATAGACATTGTTTTTATAGAAACGTGCCCAGAAATATTTTTAAGAAACCACATAGATTGATCACAATACACAATTTTGATGTTGTTCTCTTTCCTGAAAAAGTACGTGTCAATATTTCCATCTTTAATGTTTTTGAAATATATTTTTTAGACTTGGTAAAAAGTTTATCTCAAGTATATTTTTTCTGAGAGTATTCTTTTTTTTTTTTTTTTTTTCATATTGTGTGGCACACTAGCAAAATGAAATTAGTAAGCATCACAGTTTGTGAAGCGGACTGGACTTGATGACCTCGTGAGGTCCCTTCCAGTCCTTTGATTCTAAGCCTTGGTCCAGGGTGGTTTATTTTTATAGATTCATAGATTCTAGGACTGGAAGGGATCTCGAGAGGTCATCGAGTCCAGTCCCCTGCCCTCATGGCAGGACCAAATACTGTCTAGACCATCCCTGATAGACATTTATCTAACCTACTCTTAAATATCTCCAGAGATGGAGATTCCACACTCTCCCTAGGCAATTTATTCCAGTGTTTAACCACCCTGAAAGTTAGGAACTTTTTCCTAATGTCCAACCTAAACCTCCCTTGCTGCAGTTTAAGCCCATTGCTTCTTGTTCTATCCTTAGAGGCTAAGGTGAACAAGTTTTCTCCCTCCTCCTTATGACACCCTTTTAGATACCTGAAAACTGCTATCATGTCCCCTCTCAGTCTTCTCTTTTCCAAACTAAACAAACCCAATTCTTTCAGCCTTCCTTCACAGGTCATGTTCTCAAGACCTTTAATCATTTTTGTTGCTCTTCTCTGGACCCTCTCCAATTTCTCCACATCTTTCTTGAAATGCGGTGCCCAGAACTGGACACAATACTCCAGTTGAGACCTAACCAGCGCAGAGTAAAGCGGAAGAATGACTTCTCGTGTCTTGCTCACAACATACCTGTTAATACATCCCAGAATCATGTTTGCTTTTTTTGCAACAGCATCACACTGTTGACTCATATTTAGCTTGTGGTCCACTATAACCCCTAGATCCATTTCTGCCGTACTCCTTCCTAGACAGTCTATTCCCATTCTGTATGTGTGAAACTGATTTTTCCTTCCTAAGTGGAGCACTTTGCATTTGTCTTTGTTAAACTTCATCCTGTTTACCTCAGACCATTTCTCCAATTTGTCCAGATCATTTTGAATTATGACCCTGTCCTCCAAAGCAGTTGCAATCCCTCCTAGTTTGGTATCATCTGCAAATGTAATAAGCATACTTTCTATGCCAATATCTAAGTCGTTAATGAAGATATTGAACAGAGCCTGTCCCAAAACAGACCCCTGCGGAACCCCACTTGTTATGCCTTTCCAGCAGGATTGGGAACTATTAATAACAACTCTCTGAGTACGGTTATCCAGCCAGTTATGCACCCACCTTATAGTAGCCCCATCTAAATTGTATTTGCCTAGTTTATCGATAAGAATATCATGCGAGACTGTATCAAATACCTTACTAAAGTCTAGGTATACCACATCCACAGCTTCTCCCTTATCCACAAGACTTGTTATCCTATCAAAGAAAGCTATCAGATTGGTTTGACACGATTTGTTCTTTACAAATCCATGCTGGCTGTTCCCTATCACCTTACCACCTTCCAAGTGTTTGCAGATGATTTCCTTAATTACTTGCTCCATTATCTTCCCTGGCACAGAAGTTAAACTAACTGGTCTGTAGTTTCCTGGGTTGTTTTTATTTCCCTTTTTATAGATGGGCACTATATTTGCCCTTTTCCAGTCGTCTGGAATCTCTCCCATCTCCCATGATTTTCCAAAGATAAAATAGCTAGAGGCTCAGATACATCCTCTATTAGCTCCTTGAGTATTCTAGGATGCATTTCATCAGGCCCTGGTGACTTGCAGGCATCTAACTTTTCTAAGTGATTTTTAACTTGTTCTTTTTTTATTTTATCTGCTAAACCTATTAGTATTATTCCATTATACTTCACAATTGGTATCCAGGAGGATGCATCCTCTGTGGCCTGTCATTGAGTTGAGCCTTTTAACATGGCAATTAAAGTATTTCTTAAAATATATTTTCATATATATATACACTAGAGACCACACGCAATTCTAAACTTTATTGTTTTCATTTAACATATAGAGAATCTAGATTCCTTATTGGTAAATCTGAGGCTGAAACTTTATTTTTTTTCTTGGGGCTATAAAACTATATATATAATAAATTTAGTACTGGTGAGAGTTGCTGGATTAGCTATTTAGTGCTTTGAAAGTCCTGCATATTCAGAACGAGGCAATGATTGTGCAAGCTTCCAAACTGACCTGTCAGTGTGTCTTTCTGACCATCTAAATAAAGGGGACCACCTCTGAGTGAAATGGTTCCATTTCCATGACCATCCGTGCACGTGAGTCCCCAGACCCCTCCCTCATTTCCCCCACTTCCTGTATGGCTCCTGGGATACCCCCTCCACCTCAAACTGCCCTGCTTCCCCCGCCAGCAGAGCTGTCCGCAGCCCTGGCTGCATGGGCCAGCTCCTTTGGCCACGCCAGACATTCATAGCCTGATTGTGGGGGTAAGGGGGTCGAGTCCACAGCCAACTCTCCTCCCACCTCAGCTGCTGGGACTGTGGTGCCAGCAGGGGTGTCACTCCTGGCTGGGGCCCTTCAGTACTGTGTCTTCTGTCTCAGCTTCCAAGACAGTTAAGAAGTATTTGATGGTGTCTGTTGTTACTTGAGCACCTTTGTTTACCTTCAATTCACTGTATCTTCAAGCCTCTCGTAAAGTTAGTTTTCTTTCGTGGAGGAAAATGTGTAAGGAAAGATATTTTGTCATGTGAGTTTTGATATAAAGAAACTTGCTTGGTGATGACAATTTCATTAGAAAATAATGGCCGTACTTGGTCAGACCAGTGGTCAATCTAGCACAGTATCCTGTCTTTCAACAGTGGCCGGTGCCAGATGCTTCAGAGGGTATGAGTAGAACAGGGCAATTTATCAAGTGATCCATCCCATGTCATCCAGTCCTAACTTCTGGCAGTCAGAGGCTTAGGGACACCCAGAGCATGAGGTTGCATCCCTGACCTGACCATCATGGATAATAGCTGTTGATGGATCTGTCCTCCTCCTTACCTAATTCTTTTTTTAACTAGTTATACTTTTGGCCTTCACAACATCCCCTGGCAGTGAGCTCCACAGGTTGACTGGGTTGTATGAAGAAGTACTTCTTTATGTTTGTTTTAAACGTGCTGCCTATTAATTTCATTGGGTTACCCTTAGTTCTTGTGTTATATGAAGGAGTAAATAACACTTCCATATTCACTGTCTCCACACCATTCAGAATTTTATAGACCTCTATCATATCCCCACTTAGTCATCTCTTCTAAAATGAACAGGTCCAGTCTTGTTAATCTCGCCTCAAATGGAAGCTATTGCATACCCCCCGATCATTTTTGTTGCCCTTCTGTGTATATTTTCCAATACTAATATATCTTTTTTGAAATGAGGCAACCAGAACTTATGCAGTATTCAAAGTGTGGGCGTACCATGGATTTATATAGTGGTGTTATGATATTTACTCTATTATCTATCCCTTTCTTAATGGTTCTTAACATTCTGTTAGCTTTTTTGACTTGCTGCTGCATGTTGAGCAGAGGTTTTCGGAGAATTATCCACAATGACTCCAAGATCTCTTTCTTCAGCTGTAACAGCTAATTTGGGCCCCATTATTTTGTATGTTTGGAATATATTTTCTAGTGTACATTACTTGACATTTATCAACATTGAATTTAATTGATTTTCTTAAATTTCACACTACACATGACATTGTTACGATTGTATCATTTTTCCTGGTGATAATTGTGGGTGAGTTTTGTTGTTCTACAAGTTATATTTTTTCTTTATCCTTTCTTTTTTAAATAATATAAAATCCAAATTTTGTTCAGACATATTTCTGTTTTTTTTAACATAGCTGAGACAATGACAAACACTGAAAGGAACCCCACACACCAAATGATTTCTCAGCTGCACAGTTTTGCTGCTACTGGAGACAAGATCAGATTGACAGCGCTATGCAATCATTGTCCATCCCTTATCAATGAAGCTGCTGAGAATGGTTGGACAGCCTTGATGTATGCTGCCAGAAATGGACACTTTGAGATTGTACAAATTCTTCTTGAAAAAGGGTAAGAAAGTTAGAGGATCTTTTACTTAGGATCTAATTATGTCCTTCCTGCCCCATTGATCAATGTCTGTGAATGACCACTATATACAGATCCATATGAACATCTTTCTTCTCTGAAGTTACCTCCTGTGTTGGGGTCTCACTCAGTTCCTCATGCCAAACTGGTGGAACTCTCCTATCGCTTAAGGTTATTTTCATTCCTGAGAGTAGTGGTAACAGGGAAAGCATGAGCCATGCCCTAAACTGGCCATTGCACACCTCCCCTTGCATGTATAAGTTGAATATGTTAAATTTAATAAATCTAAATATTCCAGTTATTTTTTCCTCAAAGCCTTAACCTTAATCCAGCACTTGCCTTTGTATTGTAGTGCAAACAGTTTTGTTTCTGTGCTTTTCTTGGCACAGTTAGTGACTAGTACCTCAGTACTTCTATGGTATTTTCTTTTACTTGTATTTCTTAGTACTTCAGGGCTAGGACTGTTCTCACTGGCAACTGAGTTAGGGCACCACTGTGCCACACCTTTTATTAGAGGATCTTAATACTATTTAATGCTGAATTTCTTTGTTTTGTCACATGGCACTTATTTCTCAGCTGGTTCAACTCTTCCCTCCGTGCACCACTGCCTTACTTCTAAGTGTGGCTTCTAAGGAGAGAGGAAAACCACGTAGTATCTTCATACCATGACAGCAATGTCAATGCAAACCAATGTCAAAGACTGACTACCGTGTATGTTGAGTTGTCTGCTTTGAAGTCAACCACAGTACTGCTAGATATAGCTGCTAACATTGTGAGCATTGAAGGAACATAAAGATTGCCTCAAAGCTCTTGTTTGGACACCCCAGGCATACTGTTGTAAATCCAACACAAAGCTGGACTGGAATGCTATGAAGTATAAAACCCTCACAACTAAAGCCTGAATAAGGGACAGATTTTCTAATGCAATTGAGCTGTGCTTTGCGTCAGAGCAGAGAGAAGCAAAATTGACTTTGTCACCTTTTTGTTCCCCCATTCCTGGAACCAACCATACCTGATCCAGTCCCTGGCTAAATAAGTCATATGATGGCTTCTATAATTTGCACAAAGCTATCCACAGTCCCAAGGGACCATTTTGGCAGCCACAAATTGGCCAAACTCAGTGGTGGTCAGTCCACATCTTTTTTTAACTCATTACACCCTCGTTGCCCATCATGGACTGTGACCCTCTCCTACTACTGGATTACCTCAGGTGGTGGGAAACCTTATACCTGCCTTAGAATTTGCAGGATACCTTCTTTGAGGTAAAAAATGACAGGCAAGTTCACTAATACTGAGCAATCTGGATTGATTGATTGATCAGATGGGCACAAACAGTGTGTTTTAATGTAGCCAAATGCAAGATCACATCAAGTCACAAAGAATGAAAATCATATTTACAGGATATGGGACTGTATTCTGGAAAGCAGTGATTCTGAAAAGGACTTAGAGTCTTGTTAGATAATGAATTGAATACGAGCTCCTAGTGTGATGCTATGTCTAGAGGGACTAATACAGGGGTGGGCAAACTTTTTGGCCTGAGGGCCACATCTGGGTGGGGAAATTGCATGTAGGGCCATGAATGTAGGGCTGGGGTGTGGGATTGAGTGCAGGGTGTGGGATGGGGTGCGGTGTGCAGGAAGGGGCTCAGGGCAGGGGGTTGGGGTGCAGGAGAGGTGCGGGGTGTGGCAGGGGGCTCAGGGCAGGGGATTGGGGTGCAGGAGGGGTGTGGAGTGAAGGAGGGGGCTCAGGGCAGGGGTACAGGAGGGGTGTGGACTGTGGGAGGGGGCTCAGGGCAGGGGGTTGGGGTGTGGCAGGGAGCTCAAGGCAGGGGGTTAGGGGCTCGGGGCTGGCAATCCCGTAGGCTGGATCCAGCCTATGGGCCGTAGTTTGCCCACCCCTGGACTAATATGATCCTTGGAGGTATAAATGAAGAGTAAGGAGTTGATATTATATCTGCATAAAACATTGGTGAGATCACTACTGGAATTCTGTATCCAGTTTTGTTTCCACACAAAAAAGATATTGAAAAATTAAAGGGAGTTTTAAGGCTACAAGAATTATTTGAAACATGCAAAAACACCTTACATTGAGCCTCAAGGGAGATCAGTCTATTTATCTTATTGAAGAGAAGGGTAAGAGGCAACTTGATCGTAATCTACAGATACCTACTCAGGCAGAAGATGGGGCTCTTTAATCTAACAGACAAAGGCACAACAAGATCCAATGGTTGGAAATTGAAGCTAGAAAAAATAAAACTGGAAATAAGGGGCAAATTTATAACAGTGAGACTAATTAACCACTGGAACAGATTACTAGAGGGTGTAGCTTAGGGTAGTCAATAGGTGAATCGCGGGCCAAAATCTGGACAGCCAGAGGCTTTTGAACAGTCCTCAAATATTTACTTATCATTTTTATTATTTTCTCTGGAGTTTGGAACTTGACTATACCTTGACCAAGAAATTTGGACCTTTGGTAGACAAAAAATAATTGACTACCCTGGATGTATATTCTCGATCACTTGAAGTCTGAATCAAGATTGGATGTCTTTCTAAAAGATGCTCAAATTCAGTCACAAATTAATGGACTTAAGGCAGGACTCGTGGGGTCAAATACTCTGGTCTGTGTGTTAGACTGGATGATGTTAATGGCCCCTTCTGGTCTTAAAGTCTACTAATCTATGAAGTATTTTTTCTTCCACTTTTATTTTCATTTTTCTGAGGCACATGTTTTCATCTTGAATTGGCTTTTTTTCTCTGAGCGTTGCTTTCCATGCAGTCAAAGGAGTTTATTGAAATATTCAGAGGGGCAGCATTTGTGCTAAACATGATAAGTAGGGGGCTTACCTCTCACTCTGCCCCATTACCCTCAAGGGTAAAAAACTTTAAGAGTTAGGGAAGTTTTGTCAATCTCTTGCTAAGGAGCTAAAACTCAGAACTGAGATTCTTGAAAAGTGAAAGCTTCAGGGAAGTAGAATTACAAGATTAAATCATTTTGTTTTACATTGTTTAAAAAAATATTTCCCAATCCAATCTTTACTATAAATTCCCCACTGATTGTTATAAGCAAGCATCAGTACCAACAGAAAATAGCTCATGGAGAAACACAAAGCAGTTGAAACATACAGGTGAATCTGACCCAATATCTACTATTTTTTTTTTTTTTTTGTGATTTATGGTGATGCTGTTGTCCATCATCCACCGGGGTTTGTATTTACAAAAACAAGTGCATTCTTTTCCTGACTTCCCAATCATAGTATTTCAGAACTTTCTGTTTCCCAAAATTGCTATTTTCAATATAAGAATTCACAGCATGCTGTTGCTCGGTGATTTTAAAATTGGTTTATAAGAAAATATTTTAAACTTGAAGCATTTTACAAAGTGAGGATCAGATTTTCCCCATAGAATATGATTGTTAGGGCATGTGCTTAGCTCCCAGTTGAGAGAACTGGTGTTGCATGTCCATATGTGAGGGTGGAATTTGTCCCTGAATGAACAAATAATCCTAATCGGAAAAGGAAAATTCACAAGTCAAATTGTATGGGAGTATGGATTGGTTTCATATTATTTATGCTTGTGATCTTTTCCTCCTAGTGTGAAACAGATTATATGCACTGAAATCCGGTATTCTAAAAAAATTTTATGAATAGTTTAATATATGCCCTACAGCAGTGTTTCTCCAGCTCTTTCGTTCTGTGGACAGCTCTGTAAGAGAAAGATATGTCTGTGGATCAACTCATCTCCCAAAGCATGATTTTAAAATGCTCTTTCTGCAGACCTCTGAGAAAGGGTTCCACAATCTTTGCCTCTTTTAAGTGTCACACTTGTTTCCAAGATAGTCCATTGTGATGCTACTAAGGCTGAAATGTTTCTTCTTTGAATGAATTAGGCCAGAAAAGTAGAATGATTACAAACAAAAATATTTTCTTGAAAGTAGAAATGTTTTGCTAACAGGCTATTTCCCTGATTCTTCTTTGATGTTGTTGCCTCTGCATATTCTCACTTGTGGAATATGCCTTTTAGTACCATTGATCTTTGGGATCCTTCTAGAAAGCATCGCCCTCTACAGCTGCAGGAGCTCCCTCTTGCAGCACTGAACGTTCAGAGCCAAAGCTATAAAAGGGCTATGTGGTCCATCTGCCTTAGTTCTTCTCCTTCTGCAGGGGAATCTATTCTCTCTAGGCCTGGAGCAATTTCTGGGTTTTGATCCAGGACTCCCTTAATTTCTGATGATGTATTGCATTAAAGTTAATTAGGTAGTTACAAATTTTCTCGGAGTTCTACTGTCCTGTGACACGAGTACGAGTAGAGAAGTTATTTTACCTCTGTATTGGGCATAGATGTGACCACTGCTGGAAATCTGTGTCCAATTCAAGAAGGTTGTTGATAAATTAGAGAGGGTTCAGAGAAGAGCCACAAGAGTGATTAAAGGATTAGAAAAATCTGTCTTTATAGACTCAGGCAGCTCAATCTGTTTAGATTAACAGAGAGAAAGTTACAAGGTGACTTGATTACTGTCTATGAGTGCCTACCTAGGGAATAAATATGTGATAATGAGCGTTTCAGTCTACCAGAGAAAGGCATAACATGATCCAGTGTCTAGACAAATTCAATCTGGAAACAAGGTGTACATTTTTAACAATGAGGGTTATTAACTATTGGAACAATTTACCATGGGTCATGGTGGATACTCCATCCTGGCAATTTTAAAATAATATTTGGATGTTTTTCTAAAAGGTATGCTATAGGAATTATTTTGAAGAAGTTCTGTGGCTGTTATACAGGAGGTCAGACTAAATGATCATAGTGGTCCCTTCTGGCCTCAGAATCTAAGACTCCAACACTTGGATTGAGCAGAAGGGAATGAAGGTGTTGGGAACATATGGTCATTTTATCATCACATTTCTAAATGTTCAGTGCTGTGAAGGAATACGTACATGGCCCCAGCTGGGACTACTTTTCTAAAGGTCCCCAAAGTTCAATGGCAGTGTGGATGTATCTCACAGTGAGAATATGTTCCAGCAAGACTCTTACAGAATCACAGTCACTATGGTAACCATCGTTTTTCTTTTCTGTTTATAGGTGTGACAGGTCCATTGTCAATAAATCGAGCCAGACTGCACTAGACATTGCTAAATTTTGGGGATATAAGCATATAGCTAATTTACTAGCAAATGTTAAGGGTGGACAGAAGCCTTTTTTCCTGCCAAACGATACAATAGAGTATGAAAATTATTTTAGCAGGACACTTCTGGATAGAAAGAGTGATAAAAGAACAGATTCTAAATGGTTAAACACAAAACAAAACCATCCAGCCACAGTATACATCCTTTTCTCAAATTTAAACCCATTGGTCACTTTGGGTGGAGGGAAAGATGGTTCCCAGCAGCCTGAAGTCAGGCTTTGCAGGCTATGCCACAAGGATGTAAAGGAATACATGAGCCAGACTGAAAAAGTCACCTTGATTTTTCTTGGAGTAGAACTTCAGTTGGCTACTCTGAATGGAGGAATTCTGAAGGAAGATGAAGAAGATGGACTGGTTGCTTGGTTTGCCCTCAGCATAGATGCTACCTTTGCTGAACAGTTTAAACAGAGGCATGAAGACTGTTATTTTCTTCATCCTCCAATGCCTGCACTGCTGCAGTTGCCTGAAAAAGAAGCTGGTAAGATGTCCAAAATGTAACTTTTAGCAATTGTCTAGTCAGAAAAGAGCAAATGGGAAGTGGGAGCAGGGCCATGGAAGGGCTCCTGTATTGGCTCCTATTTGCCCCTCTCCTACTGATTAGTTGCATGATCTTCAGCAAATCCCTACCCAATTTGTGTGCTTCAGTGATGCCCATAATAAGCTGTAATAATATATATCTTCCACATAGCAGAGTTTTGTTGTTTAATTGTTTGAAGTATGTATTGTGAGCCTCACATAAAAGGTGCAACATTTTTTATAGAAAGATTGAATTAAAAAAAGACAGCCAACTAGTACAGGCAAATACCGTTGTTTCCAGGGGTTTTAATTAGAGATCCATGACCTGATTTTTTCACTAGCTACAACTGGTTGTGTAAAAATTTGCATACACAGTTGAAAGATACTAATGTCTGCAAAACCAGACAATAATATTGCAACTGTATGCAATATCTGTGGGGAACATGTTGCATTAAGTGTATGAGTGGTTTATGTAACACTGGCCCACGGATTTAATTTACCTCTAAGTGGGGAGGGTTCTACTGCTCCACCAGGAACTAAAAACAATAGGGAGCGATTAAGGTGAATCACTTAATTATAAACACCCCACCAGAGAAGTACTACCTCCGGGGAAGGCTTTCATATACTGGTTCAGACAGGGTTTTTCAGAAACCAACAGACAAAGAAAGAGCTTATAATATAAAAAGACAGAGTTTAAATTAACTCAGGACCATCTTTCTGAACCAGCAAACAGACAGGACCTTATATCCAAGATGGGCCCCAATTCTTGCAGAAGGATTGGAAAGTCTATAAGACTGATGGGTGACTCCCTAATATGTTTAGTGTTTTCTTTATGTTTTCTCTGTAATGCTTTTACCTTAAGGATAAATGTGCTTGCCTAGAAAAAATCTCTGGTATAATTTGTAGCTGCTGGCAATAAATACACTGTTTATAGCACTTGAAGAGACAGCAAAGCACAGGCGCTGGCTTTTAGGCAGACTGGCTTGCTTGGGATATTGTAGTCTAAGGCAGGGAGCTGTATAGTCTTAAAACTCCTGGTCAGGAGGGAGAGAGACACGGGTCTCCCTCCAAAAGAGGTGCTTGCCGGGAGCTGAAACCTTAAGTGGGTGCCATCTAGAGATCACGGGAGGGGGAATACAGGTACAGTTACCCTGAAATTCTTATGCCCTGCACTAGTGTAAATGACTGCACAGGGTTCAGGACAATGCAGGCCTTAAATTAACATAGTTACAAGGAAAAATAGATAAGGGAATTTGAACAATATGAGATTATCAAGAAGACATTTTAAACTGTGGTTTTAGTTTGATTTTCCTGTTGAATTACGAGAATTTTCTTGTTGTGCTATATATTTTAAAAGATTAGAAGGCTTGTAATTTGATTTTATGTGACTCTATCATTTTGGTGCATTCTTTTAAAGGAGTAGTAGCCCAGGCTAGATCTGTTCTAGCATGGCATAACCGATACCAATTCTGTCCAACATGTGGCAGTGCAACCAAGATTGAAGAAGGAGGCTACAAGACGACCTGCTTAAAAGAAGACTGTCCCAGTCTTCAAGGTGTTCACAATACATCGTACCCAAGAGTTGGTAAGAATATCATAAAAATAAACGATTGGCTGAAGAAGACTGGCTTGTATCATAGAATCAGAAATGTAGGATTGGAAAGAACCTTGATAGGCCATCTAGTCCAATCCCCTGCGCTGAAGCAGGATTAAGTATTATCTAGACTATCCCTTATAGTTGTTTGTCTAACTTTGTTCTTTAAAACCTCCAATGACAGAGATTCCACAAACTCCTTAGGTAATTTGTTCCAGTGCTTACCTGCCCCTACAGTTAGGAAATTTTTCCTAATGTCTAATTTAAATCTTCCTTGTAATTTAAACCCATACTTTTTGTCCTGCCCTTAATGGATTAAGAGAAAAATTTATCACCTTCCTTTTTATACCATTCTTTTACCTATTTGAGACTTATCATGTGCCCTCCTCAGTCTTCTCTTCTCCAGATTAAACAAACCCAGTTTTTTCAGTCTTTCCTCATAGATCATGGTTTCTAGACTTTTAATCATTTTCTTTATTCTCCTCTGGACTTTTTCCAGTTTGTTCACATCTTTCCCAAAGTGTGATGCCCAGAACTGGACACACTACTCCAGTTGAGGACTTATTAATGCTGAGCAGAGGGGGAAAAAAATACTTCTAATGTGTTTTTTGCAGCACTCCTGCTATACATCACAGAATGATGTTTGCTTTATTTGCAACAGTATTACATTTTTGACTCTCATTTAGTTTGTGATCCACTATAGCCCCCAGATCCTTTTCTCCAATACTCCTTAGCCAGTCATTTCCCATTTGGTATTTGTGCAACTGATTATTCTTTCCTAAGAGCAATACCTTGCATTTGTCCTTATTGAATTTCATCTTATTTATTTCAGACCATTTCTTATTCCAATCCTGTCCTCGAGCCCCTCCCAGCTTGGTGTCATCAACAAACTTTACACGTATACTTTCTGTGCCATTATCCAAATCATTTATTAAGAAATTGACTAGAACCAGACCCAGGACAGATCCCTGCGGGAACCAGCACAATATTTTCTTCCAGCTAGATTATGAACCATTGATAACTACTCTCTAAGTACAGTTTTCCAGTCAGTTGTGTGCCCACCTTATAGTAGGTTTGTGTAAGCTATATTTCTCTAGTATGCTTATGAGAACATCAGATGAGATAGTTGTCAGCATGCCTCAGTGGGTCACAGCTGAGAATACCAGGTTCAGGACAAACTGCTGAGAAATAGGGCAGACTCACCCCAAACTGGTGGTTATTCTATTCTTATATTATACCACTCCAGTAACAAAAGTAAACTTCTGTCTCACCATGCTGGTTAACAGGAAGTCACAGATGCAGTCTCCTTGGGCATTCCAGCCATTGCCTTAGCACCCAGACACTGGCCTCTATGATGAATGGTTACTTAAAATCAGTTTAATTACATATAGAGTCCTCTAATCCCAAGAGGTCAGCCACATAGCCAGGTAAATATATAACTCAGATCTGTCCCAATAATCATGCTGCTGCTAATCCTTTAGTAACTAAAATCTAAGGGTTTATTAATAAAAGAAAAAAAGACAGTAGTTAAAAATGGTTAATAGATCGTATACATACAAATAGTTGCAAAGTCCTTATATTATGTTTGTACAATGATTGGAATAGACTGCTAGTTTGTAAAGTCTCCCTGGTAATTTCCAAAAGATTGGAAAGTCCTCAGTCCATAGTTTAAAATGCTCCATTTTGTTGTAAGTCCATACACCAGAGAATCAGGGCAGTAAAGGCAAAATGGAGATATCTCAGGAGTCTTTTACACTCTTTGCCATATGCCTGGAAAGTTACTGGCTCAAGATGGAGTCCAGAGTCACATGAGCATATCACATATACTTACATGCTTTGATGACTCACATGGGCAGCCATTACCCATATACTTGCTGAGGCATCCTCAGGAAGGCTTATTGGGCAGGATGAGTTTCTTCTATGGCCCACTGTTAGAGTGAAGTATCCTTAATGGGCCATCAAGCTTGACTAGTTCACTCACAATGGCGAGACTGGATGTAAGCTACCTTGTTGTTGTTACCCCAGGAACAAACACATTTGAGATACGGATACATAGCCAATATTCGTAACTTCACATGGATTTAAACAAGATAATCTTATTTAGCAAATCATAACTTCTGCATTGACACCTTAAATGATATACTTTGTACAAGATTTGTTGCAAATGCATAACAGTGGTATAAATGGTCATATTCAATCATACAGTATCAGAACGGTATCAAAAGCCGTACTAAAATCAAGATATATCACATCTGTTGCTACCCCATCCACAAGGCTTGTTACCCTGTCAAAGAAGGATGTTAGGTTGGTTTAACGTGATTTGTTATTGACAAATCCATGTTGCCTGTTACTTAGCTTATTATCTTCTAGATGCTTACAAATTGATTATTTGATTTTTGTTTGCTCCATTATCTTATTCACATTATCTTATTATTCACTACTTACTTCACTGTATTCATGTACCTTAATCCCTTTTAATTCTCCCATCCTCTTCACTCAGTCCCTCCAAGTCTTTTTTTCAACTGTCTCCCCAGACCCCACTCTGTCAGTTTTATTCAAGGTAAAGTAGTCCAAGCTTCTCTGTCTTTCTTTGAGTTGTGCATGACAAAAAAATAAAGTTTTAATTCAATTTCAGCCTGTTGTGTTGCTGTGCAGAGCACTAAAAATCCTATGATACAACAATGTAAGCAAATTATTAACATAACATTATTAACATTCTCCTCTTCATCCACACAGCATCGAGGCCCTCATCATCTCAGGTCTTGATTATTGCATCCTCCTTCACTCTGGCCTTGGCAAATCCTATCTATTCCCACTTACGTCCGTTCCAAATGATGATGCAACAGTCATTTTTCTGGGACATTGCTTTGACCACATGACGCATCTCTCTCTCTTCCTCCACTGGCTCCCCTTTCTCCACTGCATCAGTCATAAGCTAGTTGTCTTTACTTTTAAGGGCCTTCATGGCCTAACCCTGCCCAACCTGTCTTCTCTTAGATGATATAGGGACATTGATGCAAGCCTTCATTCTGCAAAAGATGCCAGTTTTGGTTGTCCCATTTTTTTAAATTTTCCATCAAGAACATTCAGCTTTCTCTCATGCTGTCTTTCATCACAAGAAGGGCTTGCCAAAGATATCCACAAAGCCACCTCATCATCCTTCTTCAAATCCTTTTAAAAACTCGTCTGCCATGTTGCTTACAAAAAAAGTTCTGCGGTGCTTAGGCAACTGTTTCTGCTGCGAGTACTCTTTTTCATGCCTTTGTTTCATGCTATTATTTCCTTGTGCCATCTGTTTGTTTTATCTACCTGCTATCTGTGGTCTGGTACTTAGATTGTAAACCCTTCAAGGCAGGGACTATCTTTGTATTATATACTTGTTCAGTGCTTCATACAAAAGGCCTCAGACTCTAGGTGTTACTCCAATACAGATAACATTACAGTGTGGCATCACAATGTGCTTACATCTTACAGTCTGAAATAATTTTTAAGACAGTAAAATGATTCAGCAATCAGTGCTTAAAGGTCTGCCCCAGAAAAACTGCAACAGTTCTAGAAAATCCATGATAAATGGTGACCCTGGCAAGAGATCTCATAGAGCTGGAGTCTTTTCTTTTGTTATCCATGTAACATCTGCACTTGGAAAGTTGTTTGAGAATTTGTCGTTTTAAGCTTGTGCCAAAATCCATAATCTAGCATCTTTTTACCGTAAAGGTTAATTTATAGAATTGTTTTGCTTGGCATTCTGAATGTTGTACATATTGTGCAAAAGGTGGTTATTTCATTTAATTATAAAAAGATGTTTAGAACTGTACTGTAAACTAGAATAGGGACAGCTGTGCAATATAGAGGATACTTACTTCAAAGACTAAAGAAACTATTTTAAGTAGCAAGCTTTTGTAACAAACAGGTAAAATTCAGGGGGGGAAATTGCCTGCTCCTGAAACCCTTGTCATGTAAAAAGATACATGCCCATAGGTAACAAATGAGAGAATTCTGTCCTTTCTTTCCAGTTACAGAGTTGTGGACTTTCTGCCAGGGAAATATAAAACATTTGAAGTAAATTAAACAAGTAAACAGCTTTCCTACCTATGCCTTGTCATCATATTTTTCCTTTCTTTCCTTCTTAGTTTCTCTCTTTCCCCGTTGGCCCTTTAGTATATGTTGAATATATTTTCCACATTTATTTTCTTGAAATTTATGCTTTTTTTAATCCATTTAAGTTAGTTAAATGGCCCCCGTTACCTTAGTATCTAAGCACCTCACAGTCTTTAGATCCTCACAACACCTTTATGAGGAAGTAAGTACTATTATCCCTGTTTTGCAGGTGGAGAACTAAGGCCCGTAGAGGCTAAGTGACGTGCCCAAAATCACACAAGAAGTCTGTGGTAGAGCAGGGACTTGAACCCTAGTCTCCCAGGTCCTAAGCTACTGTCTTAATCACTGGACCATCCTTCCTCTTCTTAGCCTTTCAAAAGCTTTAGTTACTGCATCTTTCCTCTCATTCCATTGTCTCACCATCTTTTTTCTTGTATCTTCACCCTTTAACCTCTTTTTCTTTCCCCTCACTCTGTAGTGTGTCCCTCCCAATCATAGTATGTTGTATGTCTGGCCCTTCTCTCTCCCCTTTTGTCTGTTGCTTCACCTTTTTATTAATCCTACCTACTCCACTCTTCTCTTGTGCTCTGTGGACTGCAGTGCAACTTACTAAAATCATTAGTAATTTTTTCTTTACAGTCTACAGCAGAACACACTAAGAAAAGTAGTAAGATTAAATGAAAGATTGCTGAGCCAGCATTTGTTGGTGGTACCTTTTCCTAAAAAAGCTGGTAGCCAGCAGGACTCGAAATACTACAATGTGCTCCATGGCAGGTACTTTTTGAATAAGACACCAATCTTTGATAAGCATTTGCCTAGTGAGATTGATAAATCAGTCATTCTAACAGAGGGGAAAATACAAGAAGAAGGATCAGTGAGGCAGGGAAGATAAAGCAAGTAGGATGAATATCAAGGCAGAGAGAGAGAGAAAGGGAAGGCAAAAAGAAAACATAGATATTAGGATGGTTAAATCAGGGAGAGGCAACCAAGAAGGGAAAGAGAGAACCAAAGACCGGTATAGAAAAAGGGGAGGCTCAATGTAGATATGACTGATGGAAGGGAGAAAACAAAACAGAAAATTAAAAGAAAGAAAAAGAGAGAAACGGGGAGAGGAGAGGGAAAATGGATAAAAAATCCAAAGGAGAAAATGAGAACTAGAAACCAAGAGAAGGAAATAAAAGAGTAAAAATGAAAAAACATGACAACATTTAGGTCATTATAATAATAATATCTAGCTCTTTTATAGTGCTTTTCATTTGGAAATACATCCTGTAGATCTGTGACTGAGGAAGAGGTGATGGCTTATCATTCTTGCTGCTGAAATTGTTGCTTTCTGTTGGATGTGTAACTAGGTTAATGCTGTGGGTACTTCTACAAATTGCATACAGTTGCAGGTAATTTATATCCTGGCTCTCAAACCTTGGCTAGTTAAGTACCCCCATTAGGCATGTGTATTACAAAAATAGGTGAATAGAGATCTTGTTAAAAAAACACACCCTGATAATACCTGCATTGGGGCATCTACAGAATTGGACTTTCAAGCTCTTAACTGTACTATATCTGTATTTCCACCATGAATATTGAACAAAGAATTATACATGCCTGCAATTTACTATATTTCAAGCCCCAAAAAAGTTAAATATATTTCTTTCACGTGCATTCCAGATCCTGTAGTGATAATGCAAGTCCTTCATCCAGATGGGAACCAGTGCCTTTTAGGCAGGCAGAAGAGGTTTCCTCCTGGCATGTTTACCTGCCTTGCTGGATTTGTAGAGCCTGGTGAGATTTTCTTGATGGCTTTGATGTCAATTCATTTTGTATTTCTATCCCAGCTTACCCTTGAAATTGCCTGGAGCTTTTCAAAAGGCAAATTCAATCCTGCAAATTGATTTTAAATAGTGCTGTACTTTGAAAAGAATGTCAGAAGTTTGATCCACATTAGGTCAACTAAATGTGTATATTATCTATTAGGCATGTTTTATAAAAAATATTCCACACACCTTACATATTGGCAGTTGATTTTTTTTTAAAGGAACATTTGTCAACTTGAATATTTTTTTAGGTTAATTTCAAAAAATTCCATTTTATGATAGAGCATTCCACCCTAAGTTTAAAAAAAAAATCTTTACGCAACTATATAAGGATTTTTTTCTGTTCCCCTCATGGTATTTATGAGGATATTTTTGGCCAGGAAGAACTGAAATTGAACTTGGCAGGACTGCTCATGCTTAAAATTTAGCATGTGCTTAAGTTTTTGCAGAATCAAGGCCTAAATGACTGTACAGAGGAACAGTGAAAGTTGAAAAAGCTTTGTAAAATACACAAGGTAAAGTGAAGATACTTTTTTTCTGCTAGCTGTTTTCAGCAATAATAGTCTCAGGTAGTAACATAATTATAGTGGGTACAAAATTTTCAGACAGAAATGAGATTTTCAATTTGCTGGCATCTCTTTCAGCTGAAACCTCTTTTCCTTTATTGTCTAGAGAATTTACTACAAATAAACTACTCATTCACTACTATGAGGTTTTGGTACAAATGAACAGCAGGGGAGAAGGAGGGCACTTGGCTACACATGTTAAGGACAGAGATTGAGGCTTAATATTGAATTACTTGGTTTTTGTCACTATCCACAACTGTGATTTAAACATAGTTTTCTGTATTGACTTTCCTTTGTTTTGGAAAAAAGGGGCAAAAATTATTTCATGAAACACTTACTCTAATATGTCTTATTCTCTAAAGAGACCATAATGCATACCTAGGTCCAAAAATTCTCTGTGTGACTGACTTCTGCTATCTGGTTGAATGAACTGGTTCAGATAAAATAAGAATTGACTCGAATATTATTTTAGAGGTTGAAAAAGTTTGGATTTTTTTTTCACTTCCTCACTTGTCCCACCTTCCCTTGTATTTTGCATTATCGTACCTCTTTGTACTTTTTGGTTTTGAGTGGACATAAAGTTCTGAAATACAAGGACACCCGTTAGAGTATTTCCAGGCTGAATTAAAGACTGTATTATTGGAAATCTCATGAGCCAGCATATTTTCATGCTATCTTCATACCAGTTTCTCTTATCAAAGAGATTTGGCTAGTTTGGATAAACAACCAATGAGCTTCCCAACTCTTCCAGGTTCACCCATCAGCTAATTATTTACTTGAGAAACCTTTTAACAATCAAGTGTTGGAGAACAAATGTAAATTTTGAAAGGACAGCCTCTTATCTGGCAGCTAAGCGCCTAGTTGGTTGAACTCAACCTTTTGTATTAATTGGCTAGCCTCTTACTAGTCAGAATAGAAAACACAAAAGATGCACAGTATATTAAGATCTGCCTGAGAGAAATTCCAGTGACTGCAGATCCAGTTTAAACTTCAGAGAAGGGAATTTTGGAAATATCTGCAGATAAGACCCTATGTTGATGCATGGGTTATCTACTTTAAGGAGCCTTTGACCACAGAATTTAAGGAAGAGGTTAGGAGTTATCTCATATAACAGTAATGCCTGTGTTATAGTTTAATTCGGGCAGGGAAGATGTCACTTGCATATCTAAAGCAAAGATGGAAGAAAATAATTGGATATTATCCACAAAAGAAAAGTAGCAAGAGGAACTGTCAAGATATAATAGAGCTAGAATTCTGAGTTTTATATTACTGTACCAAGGGGTACTGGTCACCATTCAGTTTGGCAAAAGAGTGGTGTATTTCTTTATGCTAGAGATCTTCCAGAATAAAGGTGACATTTATTCATGTTTTAGTCATACCTGACAGCTCAAAAATAAAAGCCAGAAGGTAGGAAAATTAAGGAAAAAATTAACTGACTTCAGCCATTTCCCATGTACAAATAATAAATTATAAACCTATCCAGTGCACATATGCCAACAGTGTATAAATATTAATGTTCATGAGGGTGGAGTTAAAGTTTTCCATTACAATTTGAGTTAGAGGAATTTAGTGTCTGTTTTGTGTTTCTTTATATGTTGTGAGGTGCAAAGGAAGCTCCTTGAAGAGAGGAAGAATGTGTCAGAGTGGGTAATGTAGGCATGTGTTTGAGTGTATTTAAATATCCACCATCTTTTTACTGGTGATTGTCATTCTTTGAAAGGCTTAGTTAAATTTTAAACTGTAACATTCCACTATTATAGTCATAGTACAAACCTTAAATTAAAGTTAACAAAATTATTTACCTGTTATAGTGAGCAAATGATTATTTGTTTCAAAGTTAATTTGAGGTAAAGTGTGTTACATTTTGCATAGTAATTTCAAGGAGTAATGGTAGCTTTACATGGGAAATACACATTACGATGCTGGTATTCTGATATTTTCATAGTATTTATTTTATTTTATTTTTATTCATTTTGAAAATGTTGCTTTAGTGCCTGCCTTTCTTTTATTACACTTCTGCTTCTCATACTTCAGATCTGTGCCCCATTCTGGGAATTGGACCCCTGTAGATAATTGTTCAAGGCAATTTTAAATCTTTTGAGTCAGTTCAAAGCACAGAATGTAATCCTTGCTTGGAGAATTTTCATCAGATGCTTGTTCTTTCCCCTTTTTGATTAGGGGAAACAATAGAAGATGCTGTTCGAAGAGAAGTAGAGGAGGAGAGTGGAGTCAAAATTGGCCATGTTCAGTATGTCTCTTGTCAACCATGGCCAATGCCCTCCTCCCTAATGATTGGTTGCTTAGCTGTTGCAGTGTCTACAGAAATTAGAGTCGACAAGAATGAAATAGAGGATGCCCGTTGGTTCACTAGAGAACAGGTAAAGTTCAATTTAATTTCTTTCTCTCATTGATTGTTCTGTGACTGTATCAGTTCTGGTGGAATAGGAATGCACCCTTTTTCAGCAAGTTGAATAGGTGTTTGTACGCACCACATCATACAGTGATTACATTGTAATTGTAAATTACACATAGCCAGAGAAAGGTAGCTACTCATAAAAGACTGCGTGATGAATGCTGTGCCCACTGCAAGCCCATTTAAGACATTCTTGCCATGCTTAACTATTCAGTGCTTCTCTTTGGACAGTATTTATTGTTAGTTATTCTAGTACCTTTCTATTACTTCCTTGAGTTTTGTTTGGCTCTAGATAAGAGAACTGTTAAGTAGCATTCATTTTTGAGCTTTTTCTAAAAAAATTTTTAGAAATACTTGTACTTTTTTTTTTAGAGATTAAAAAAGAGAATTTGTTATTTTTTGGCATTTTTTTTTCATACAGTTGTAGGCCCCAGTCATCCAGTTCACTGTGCATGGGCATGCCTTGTGTACTGTGCAGCACACTCAAGGATCAGAGTCTAAATGGGTAAAACTAGAAAACTAATGAAAAACACAATGGATGGAATTTTAAACATAACTATAAAACAAATTGCATGAGGTTTTTTGTTGTTGTTGCTGAATTCCTTCTGCCACCTTTTCTGTCGGATAGCATTTACATTGTTATATAAACTTTAAACGGCAAGTTCTTTGCAGTCAGGTCCTTATTGTCTTATACAAGTAAAGCAAATGTGTGTCTATAAATTTGTATAAATAACAAACAAAAACTACACTCAGCAACAGTGAAGGTGGCATCAGGCCATATCCCTCCACCTAAAACCTTAAAAGTATGGAAATAAGTTAAGGGGAAAGATATGTGCATTCTTTTCCACCTTCATATTGCTTTCACTTCCATCTCCTACAGATCCCTGCTCTATTTTTATTATGGAATTCTTCACTATCTGAAGAAAGGAGGAGTCAGTGTGTAGCATCAGTGCATCATTTATATGCTATGCAGTCATGTGTTTTATTAGCATATTAAAACTGGACTGGGGAGGGGGGCTATATCCTGTATGCTCATGATAGAAATTAAAATAAAGTTTATTGAAAAACACATGTATGCATCCAGTTCAGCCTGAGTAATACAGCAGTACTCCAGTTATCTGAATCACCTACTCATCTCCATTTCAGTTTGAATAATCAGAAATTTAGTATATTGGGATTCTCCTGTCTTCAGTCTGTAAATTTCCTTGATGGTTTCAGTCTTCTATATTACCTAATTTGTGCAGGAGTGAACCATGCAGCTCCACTCCCCATGTACTGAAATCCTATGTAAACCTCCATTTTTACAAGGCAACATGCTGTAGTTTAGTGAATAGGCAAGTTGGGGTTATCAGAGTTCAGTAAATTAGTATTCTACTATACATAGGGCCTAAACCTAGCCTTCCTGTGCATTACTTTTTTTTGTTTCTCTGTCTAAATTTGTAATGAAAATGGAGAATAATTTATTTTCACATTTTTCAAAAGGGAGTGTCTAAAATTAGCTTCTTGAACCTGTATGTAGACGCTGAATAAGAGTGGCCTGATTTTCAGAAGTGCTGAGCTCCCACCAATTTTATGAAAGTCAAGGGGAGGTGCAGGTGCTCTGCACCTTTGAAAATCAAGCCACTTTTATTTAGAAGCCTAACTTCAGGTGTCTGTTTGCCAATTATTTTCATAAAGCAGAAAGTAGGATGAACTGGATACTTTAAATACAATAGAGATTTCTCAAAAGATGATTGAAAGATTATGGGGCAAATGTAAACTTTCAGTGAAGTTTCATAGCCTTACACCAGTTCTGAATTTGGCTTTACATGTTGTAAGAGATTTGTGTATTATAAATAAGGTTAAGATTTTGTCACAGTTATTTTTAGTAAAAGTAAACTGTGACCTTTTACTAAAAATAACCACGGGGGGAGACTGACAGCTCTGGGGCACCCACCACCCTAGAGCACAGGACTGAAGCAGAAAATGTCACGGAAGTCTCTGAAAGTCACAGGATCCATGACTTCCATGACAATATCTTATCCTTAATTATAAAGAATCTACCAGAAACTAGTTTTAAAATAGTGCAAATATGTCCATAGCATGTAAATCACAATTTTATAAGGTGATGGTACTATGTGACTGTCTTACTGTAATTGTAAGGTAATGCACATTGGAAGGAGTAATTTTAACTAATGTACACATTTCTGGGTTTTAAATTAAATGTGACCACGTTGTAAAAGACCAAGGCATCGTTGCAGAGAATTCAGTGAAAATATCTTCTCCGTTCTCATTGGAGGTCAATGCCCTACACTCCAAATGGTAGAAAAAAGAATGAAATAGAAAATAATAATAAAAATATTATAACGCCACTATATATATCAACAATACACCCTCAACTGGACTATGTTCAAGTCCTGTCATTCCATCAGAAAAAAGATACAACAGAATACAAAGTCGTACTAAGACAAGCAGTGAAAGTAGTTAGAAGCACAGAAAGTCTTCCATGTGAGGAAAGATTGAAAAGGATTGTTCAGTTTAAGGAAAATACAAATAAGAGAGGGCATGACAGAGGTATAAATTAATGAATGATATAGAGAAAGTAAATCAGGAGCACCTCTTTACTGTTTCTCATAATACAAAACCAAGGGAGCCATTCATAAAAATAGACAGCAAATTTAAAATTGATAAAAGGAAATGCTTTTAATAAACACACCATATAATCTCTGCAGCTCATTGCCCTGAGGGACCGTTAGGCCAAGATCTTAATAGTGTCACGCGTCTTTCAGAGCAGTAGCAAATGTTGGGGCTTTGCAAGTCAGTTTCCCATTAAAGAAGAAATCAGTGGCATGGAGTCTGGGTATATTCTTAGAGCAACTTGTTTATTTTAAACAGTATATGCAGGTTTTGAACACAGGTGGTCACAAACAGCATGTGGGGTAACCCCTTTTTCTAGGGATCTCAGCCCAAACACCAATACCTGCTTTTCAGGAACAACTCTGCCTCAAGAATTTAATTAGCAAATTCCATTACTGCTTACCACAGCCACCTAAAAATCTGTATCAGAAAAATAAACAACACAACATTTTTTCCCCAGACTAAAAGCTTGTTCACACGCAAAGAAAAAGAACTTGTCGGATAGTGTAACAGTGCCATCTGGTGATTCCTGCCCTAGCAATCAGCTACACAAAAAGATTAGTCATGTATATGATTAGTGAGAGTGTACACAGTTACTTTAGAATAATAAGCTTGAAAGCTTTAGGGCATAATTCACTTGCTGCCTGATGGGTTAAAAAGCCTTCCCTCTTTTTTCTTGTACCTTCCTCTGATGCATCTGGTAATGGCCTCCATACTGGACTTGGAGAAGACCACTAGATCACTCCAGTATGGAAATTCCTATTTTCATAAAATGATAGATTCCGTGTGTTTATAAGATTAATTTACCAAAACAAAATCTATGTATTGCAGGTCGTGGACGTTCTCATTAAAGGAAACCAGCGTTCTTTCTTTGTGCCACCGAGTCGAGCTATTGCACACCAGTTGATAAAACACTGGATTGGAATGAATGCTAATCTTTAAATTCAAGGAACTGAGTTCTTTGAGTTAAATTACTGTTTCCAGTGACTGCTAATGTAAATAAATTAGAAATAATTGGTCATTTAGTGAAGTGGTGACCACAGTAGTTCTTGAGTTTCTTAGTCCTTTGACTCCTGCGATATACTTGCACTCAGTGATTCTTTTCAGAAATTTGTTGGACTGGGACAGTCACCCACTGATTACCCCAAACAAAAACGTCAACATTAAAGTATAATTTTGAAGGTTTTTTTATAATCAGGTTATTCTGCCCTTCGCTATCCCTCGTTTTATTTTCCAGGACTTGTCTGAGCTCTTCTAGATCTACTATTTTTGTTTGAGACATTAGGTTAAAATCAGCCCTGGTGTAAGTTGTGACAACTCCGCTAATTATGCCTGCTGTGTCTGAGATTCTTTTCCTCTGTGTTTACCTGCAATTTTGTTGTTTGTTTTTCCTTTTTCTCTCCTGTTTCCTCTTTCTTGTTCTATACCTTCCTCACTTTCCCTTTTTTATCCTCCCTCCCTTTTCCACGCTCCCCTCACTTTTGGCCGTTCGTCACTCCCTCCTACCCCAACGAACACTTAGCATTACATTTTAGCAGCAATGTTAGCATTTAATTCTAGAAGCTCTATTAGCAACAGGTATCACATGCTGGTAGTACATTCATTAGAAGCTAGGTGTGTAATGCTTTTTATATCTTATATGATTAGTGTTGCTGATGCTAGAGTTTGAGCCAGCAATCTTGTGTGGATCCTGTCAACTCATTAACATAGTGTCCAAACATTATTTTAAAGACCTTTTGCAATATTGTGTTTGCAATAAATGGGAGTGAGGATGGCTGCTCCAGAAGCTTAAATATTAGATACTGTTATAAGCAGCCACAGACTTGTTGACTGGTAGACAGCAAACAAGATTGCAGTTGATTGGCTTCTTTGGTCAGTGCAAATTAGTGTAGAGACTTCAGAAGACAAGTAGATTAAACTAGACAAAAAAGACACCAGAATTAATGACAGTTCATCTAAATACAAAATGCTGCTTATATAAGTAATATATAATCAAAAATGTTAGGTAACTTAAATATACCAAATCTAAATGTAATGAAGAGAAGACAGCATTTTTAAACAATAAAATATTAATTTATTGATGTATGTTTAACATTAGTAATTTACAGTACTGTTTCAGATTTTGTGCCTTAATTATAAATTAGTGACGAGAATTCAAATTACTTTCTTTCAAAATGGAAGGCTATAAAGTGTACTACAGTAGAAGCTCATTTGCAGCAACACCTTGTAAGAGCAACTGCCGCTAACGAGCAACATTTCCCCTGGGAACACTTTCCTTACTGCTATTTTTCCACTTGGTAACAGCAACATAGCCGCTGCATAAGAGCGACATTTGTGACATCACATCCA